TCTCTTTGTAAGGAAGAAATTCTTCAAAATCACCTGTCAGTTTTGAATACTTTTAATATTCCACAGAGCCAAAATGAATTTGAACTACTTTATATATATTGGATTCCGAAACTTCATAAGAATCCTTACAAACAAAGATACATTGCAGGTTCCAGTAAATGTTCAACCAAGCCTCTTTCGTTACTTCTCACTAAAATATTGACAGTAGTGAAGGAAAAACTTCAAGAGTACTGTACAACTATATATTCAAGAAGTGGTGTAAATCAGACTTAAAAATTCTGCAGAACTTTTGGACAATTTGAAATCACAAGACTTTTCAAAAATCAACAGCATAAAAACTTACGACTTTTCAACTTTATACACGACAATTCCCAACGACAATTTAAAATCCAGGCTTTTTGATATTATTGACAGCTGCTTCTTCAACACACATAAGTACTCTGAAGTTGACATCAAGAAGATGCTTGAGTTTCTAACTGACAATATCTATGTGGTTTTTGGAGACCAGGTATTCCAACAATCTATTTGAATTCCCATGGGTACAAATTGCGCTCCGTTATTAGCAGACTTATTTTTATATTCATATGAAGCAGAATTTATGCAAAATCTTTAACGTGAAAAGAAGAAAACACTTGCTGTGGCCGTTAACTCGACATTTAGATATATCGATGACGTATTGTCAATTAATAATGATAATTTCCATTCCTACGTCGACGCGATATATCCTGGTGAGCTTGAGATAAAAGATACCACAGAGTCCGACACTTCTGCTTCATACTTGGATATTTTACTTGAAAAAGACACTAATGGTAATCTAACAACCAAGCTAAATGATAAACGTGATGACTTTAACTTTTGTATTGTCAACTTCCCTTACTTATGCAGCAATATACCTTCATCACCTGCATACGGAGTATATATATCTCAGTTGATTCGATACGCAAGAACATGCTCTACGTATGAACAATTTCTAAAAAGAGGTAAATTATTGACAAGCAAGTTGATGACACAAGAATATCAACAGTCTCATTTAAAGTCATCATTTCGTAAATTCTAAGGTCGATACAATGACCTTGTCAGCAAATACAATTTATCATTGAATGAAATGCTGACTGACGTTTTTCATACCAATTGTTAGTCCATTATTTATACACTGAATTGACCACGGGTTTTTCCGTTATTTCCTGATTATGACAACGAGCACACGGCGGGTGTGACCGGTTGGCAGGGGATGCTCACTCCTCCATGGCACCTGATCCCATTTCTGATGTTTCGGAGGTCCGTGTTTGCTCTGCTCTTATTTTGTATATTTGTTTAATGGACGTTGAGATTGAATACTGTTCGTTATTTCCATATCCTTCTTGAGGCGAATGTAAGTTTATGATGCCAGTTTATAGCAGATACGAGCAGATACCCGCTCGTATTGTAAAAAACAGTACGCCAGTTAGTTGCTATGAAAAATCAATAAACTTGACATACGTGCATCTTAATTTTGGACAGTAAAAATGACTTTCAATAAAAAAGGAAACTAATATTCTGTTTTTGAAAATTTGTTTTAATCTCTGTGCATTTTTAATTTGCTTATTTAGTTTCCTTTTAAAATTTCCCAGCAGACAAACGATATATAATTCATTGACTTTCTCACATCCAAGAATCCGGGGCAGATATATTTTATTCTGACGGTCGGTCCGTCTGTCAGTTTGTTTGTGATTTTTTTCTGATGTAATTGTAAGTTGGTAAATAGGTTAACGCTGACTATAACGTTTGATTAGTTTCAGCTATGGCTTTTCATATTTCACAGGTGTATATGATATAAAAAGACCTTTCCTTGGGTTGAAATATTTTCTTTTGATATTTGATCTTCATTTTCAAATTTGAGCCTGGGTCAAATGAGCTATGGCTGTCGTATTTCACCCGTGTATTCCATGTTTAAGAACTTTTTCCTTGGGTACAAGTATTTTTTTACATTTTGACTTTGGTCTCGAAGTTTGACTAACTTTGCGAAATTTTCAAAATTTTAATCTCAGTCCATAGCTATTGAACAGTTAAGTCAAGGGATATCAGATACCTCATGCTCATTTATTGACAAAACATTCTATTGAGTACCAGCTGAAATGACCTTTAATCTTGAACTTATGGATATGATCTAATTTAAAAAAGTTATCTTTGGCCGTATCTTCTAAATCGTTCGTGCTAGGAATTTACTATTCTACAGGCTTATTTCTTGTGGTAAGAGCTTCTCTTGAATACCAAATAATTTTTATTTGATTTACTTGGACCCGAAACTTTGACCTTCTTTTGAAACTTTGGTCAGGACTCTTGAGTGGCTGATTCTGTGATTCTTTTAAATTTCACCTGTGTATTCTTCGCGAAATTCCTTTGGGCATCATTTATATTGACACCTTGACCATGTCCAGTTTGACTTACTTTGAAAATATCTACTTTTGATCATAATTAATGAACTGTTGCTGCTTTTATAGCTATCATTTTTCGAAGGTGGACTCATTGAAATTTCATTTCTTTGTCATTTCTTTTGGTAAGAAAAATAATTTTCTTTTGACCGACAATATTCATCATAAGCTGCATTACGAGAGTATTATGTTTCACAAACATAGCGTAAATAGGACTTTTGTTAGGAGCACAAACACATGTTGAATTTTTATCATTAGCTCCCTAAACCTTTTTCATATTTATTTAACTACAAATTCCAAGTTGTAGTCCATAACTTTTTTGGATATATATAAACCATAGTCTTCACATCTCATAAGATAACTTGAATTGTCTTAAACATAAATCGATATTAAGTTGTGTTATTATTTAAGCATTCAATCATTCTTCTAAAAGATGTAGTCTCATAATTGCAAAGGGAGTTGCAAACATATTGATTAAGGTTAGCTCGCTAAGTTTTATTTGCAAAGACAGTTGCAGATATAAGATAACATCTTTCAGAAAACAATGAATCAGTGCTAATATTTTTTACCTTTGTCCTTGTCTTTTGTTTTGAATTATTATTATTTAGAAATACTTGAATTATCTCTAGTGTAAATAAAAAATTGAAATTTTTATTCTCTTATATAGCAATGCTTACACATTGTAACCTTTTGACCCCCAACGTGTGTTATGGTGTTTTGATATAAAAAAAAAAAGACAATAAAAATAACAGTATCGATCTACGGTCTACGATGACGTATTTTGTGAATTCAAGGGCGGAAACATCTATTTTTTAAATGATTATCTGAGGCAATGACAAGAAGCCCAGGGGCCACATCGCTCACCTGAGCAATTGGCTTGGACAAAGCACATATCAGATCAGAACTGAAAGTTTACTGGGGCGGGGGTTGAATTTTAATCCCCCCAGGGGGTCATGATTTGAACAAAATAGGTTATATACTACGTGAGGATGATTCCCTATAAGTATCACTAAGCATGGCTTTGAAGTACTTGAAAAAAAGATTTTAAAAGGTTCCTTATTCCTATGAAAAACCTTTATCGGCCATTTGGCCCCACCTTACTCCCGGGGGTCATGATTTGAACAAACTTGAATCTACACTACCTGAGGATGATGCCACATGAGTTTCATCTTTCCTGGCCCAGTGGTTCTTGAGAAGAAGGTTTTTAAAGATTGTTCCTATATATTCCTATGTAAAACTTTGATCAGCCATTTTGGCCCCACCCTACCCCCGGGGGTCATGATTTGAACAAACTTGAATCTACACTACCTAAGGATGATTCCACATGAGTTTCATCTTTCCTGGCCCCGTGGTTCTTGAGAAGATTTTTTAAAAATGCCCTTAATTTTTCTCTAATTCATAATTATCTCCCCTTAGAAAAAAGCATGGCCCTTCATTTGAACAAACTTGAATCCCCTTTACCCAAGGATACTTTGTAGCAAGTTTGGTTGAAATTTGCCCGTGGTTCTTGAGAAGAAGATGAAAATGTGAAAAGTTTACAACAACGACAACGACAGACAACGGACAAATTTTGATCAGAAAAGCTCACTTGAGCCTTTGGCTCAGGTGAGCTAAAAAATATTGATCTTCCAAAAATATATTTTTTTAATTTAAGATAATAATCTAGAATCATTTCGTTACTTGCCACACTTAAAATTCAAGCAATCTAAATTTATTTATGGTTTAATTAGATTTGTTGAAAGAAATATTTAGTTCGTCTCACTTCAACTATTTAGCTTATCTTCTCCATAATATTAAAAATAATAATTTCAATTTCGGCAGTTTTAAGTAGATTAAAGGATAATAAATGTTCTTCCATTTAAAATACTGCATGGGGTAATATTTTTAGAGAAAAGTGTAATCTTACATGTAGTGTACTACAAAATATTACTATCAAATATACCTATGTTTTTTATAAACTTCTTAACATCTTTATTAAAAGGAAACTTGTCCTAATCGACATGCACGGGAAAGGAGATTACAAATGTATTTGTCGGAATAAAAAAAGGTGTAATATTGCAGCGTATAAAGATCATTGACATAAGTATAAATGGGAAATGAAATTAAATGGCTGAAATCACAGTAAAGCGTTTTGCACTTGTGTCGGATTAAACAGGTTCCACTATAAGAGGCTTAACAATAAAGTAATATTCATCCTAATTTTTCGTCCAGACATCTTCATTTATCAGTGTTTGTAAATAACAACGAAATATTTCTTATTTCAAATTTATTACAACACATATAAAGTACATCACTTACTGAATGCTTTCAGTATTGCTTTATAGAACAGTTCAACAACCCTTCCTTTACTGAAAACATCTTTGTTTTCATGTTTGTTACTTGATGTTAAATATTAAAAAAAATAATTTAAAATAGTCTATTGAGGGTTTGCATAATCCATGAATGAGCTTTCATCTGTTAAAAAAATCAAATTAATACTTCACAGATATATGTATAATAGCATATTTTTTTTTTCTATATGAAAAAAAATTATTAAATGAAATACAAAAAAAACCCAACAACTTGCTAAGACGATTTAATGAGTTTTACCTAGTATCGCTTTATCATCATGGTGGTTCCATTCACCGACGTCCCATTCTGTACTGTGGGATACCATGGGCTTTCCCAGTACTCCGGGGACCATTGAACGTTAAGGAAGGCCCAATGGCACCAGTTAAACCACCACCCTCCCCTAATGTTACTGTGAGCAGCACAGTTACCAGGGGACCAGTCGTTATCTCTGTCCGGGGTGGAGAAAAAAATCCCAGACAGATTATAGCTTAACATGCTGTCTCCTGAAATACAATACTATAACAATATAAATAGACACAACAGTTATCTCCAGTCAATCTGTCATTATCTCTGTCCGGGGTGGAGAAGAACATCCCAGACAGATTATAGCTTATCATGCTGTCTCCTGAAATACAATACTATAACAATATAAATAGACACAACAGTTATCTCCAGTCAATCTGTCATTATCTCTGTCCGGGGTGGAGAAGAACATCCCAGACAGATTATAGCTTAACATGCTGTCTCCTGAAATACAATATTATAACAACATAAATATTAGATACAACATTCATCTCCAGTCAATCTGTCGTTATCACTGTCCGGGGTGGAGAAGAACATCCCAGACAGATTATAGCTTAACATGCTGTCTCCTGAAATACAATATTTTAACAATATAAATATCAGACACAACAGTTATCTCCAGTCAATCTGTCAATATCCCTGTCTGGGATGGTGAAGAATATCGAAGACAGATCAGTCCAAGAATAACCAGTGTCTAACAAACTGTCCCCTGTAAAATCAAACAAATTACAGAGATAATGGATTTATATATTTTCAATCTAATTTTCAATCATAATACTGAGGTACTTCTAAGATAGACGACTTTAGGTGCTGGATAGGGCGATCTACTTAAGAACAAAATGCAATGCTTTGTGTAACCCATTTAGCATCCTTTCTAATGTATCAATAAACTTTGTTTGTTACACTTTAAAGTTTGACTTATAAAAGAAATGATTTTTTAAAAGGGTCACTGGAAAATGAAAATGACCTGTGAAAAAAGGATCCAGTTAAATACACCCCAAAAGTGTATTAAATGTGATTCGCAGGAAATCATTCAGAATTATAACAAGCTAAGAAATGATGTACTGTTTTCAATTATTGATTTTCATTGAAGTCTTTACAGTTAAATGAAATGTGATGCAACATAAAGTAGGCTTAATTTTCACATTGGAAATATATCGTTTCCTTTTCACCGCAAACAATTCATAGCTCGGTACAAGTTTTTCTAAAACTTAGTGTTAATACTTATGATGTAATAATTAAATGTTAACTGGTTAAACGTTGAACGGTGCTGGTATCGGTTAGTAAAACTGCTATTCGGTTGCTCGGTTATTCGGTTACTCGGATAAAAATGCATGTTATATAGTAGATAACAAAAAAATGAAATGTTAATTTGTTAATGAGCGTATACATAAACATTTCTCAAGTTTTCTTTACACTTAGACTTTATGATCTAATGTGTCACTAAAACGATCGATTTGTTTTGATTACTTTTCATTTTTAATTGATAGCTTTGATTGCCATCAGGTAATACAATTTTTTATACCCGAGTTTTAACTACCTCATTAAATAAATCAACAACACATACATGTATAGCTTGGAAATATTTCAAGAGGACATCTGATTCGATACTTGTAAAATGTAAGTTAGACAAGACAAGACTTAATGCTCATAAACTGTATAAAATAGTACAAAGAGGATATTACATAACATATTTACAATAAAGCGATAAAGCATTTGAATTGGAGTTATCTTGTGGGCTTGTGACTTCAAATTTCTAAATAATTATTCTCCTTGTTCGTGATATATACATCAGGGATCGCAAAGTAAAAGATGATGAACCGTCTTTAAAAAATAGCGTGAAACATTAATTAAATATTTAGTTTTCTTACGATGAAATTAATTGTTTGCTTACTATATCATAATTCTTTCAAGATTTTGCTTGCGAGTGTATCTTTAAGTTTATAAATAAAGTTCATTCACTCACAATATATATGTATTTTATCACTAAGGATAAGTTAAGAATAAAAAACCAATAAATGATAGATATGAATATTATCAAATTATCCGAGTAACCGGGTACTCGATCGGAAGATTGAGTGAGTACCCGATTACTAAAAATCGCCCAATTTGCCAACACTACGTAATATATTTAATAAAATGATAACCTTTTAATTTGAAAATTAAACAAGTTTAAAAAAGAAAAATTGGCATTAAATTGAGAATTTGCTGTTCTTTGAAAGAAGTGTTATTGCTGGGAAATGGTACATACGTGAGTTTTTTTTGCGTTAAAAATAAGAATATATTAATGCTATATGCGTTTAAATGCGTGACTAAGGGGAAGGCAGCCTTACAATGTCAAGGGTTTGTGATTTCTCGAACTCCACACAAATGTTGAAATCACAAACCCTTGACATTTTGAGGATGCAGGGAGAAGGAATAAAATATAAATTAGGTATTGTTAAAGTGTAAAGGTTCCAAATCATTATTTTTTTACATCAAGCTATCATGAACATGTTGTGATATCGATAACTCTCTAAAAATGTTAATCATGAAAAACTCTCAAGAAAACAGCCCGAACAACTATGGCGGATCAAAGATACCTACTGCGTATGCTAGTTACCAATAAATTTGATTTTACAGCATGATCGTCTGTGTTTTTAGAAAAAAATCAACTACCTAGCAATAACTGATAAAATGTCTTTGGAAATTGTGAATTTTACATACATGTACAAATGATATCGTGAAATTTCTAAACGATTTATTAAAACGTTATACAATATTAGAGTAAAAAAATTGTATTTTAACTTTATATACAACAACTTAATATTTGGATTTAAAGATACATGATTTTTTTAAGAAATTAAGTTGCATACACTTACCTAAAGTCCCCGTGGCAGGTCCTGCAAGAAAGAGTTGATATTTCCCTGCTTCGTCAGACACAGAGAATCGGTCGTACATTTCATACAGCGTTGTACCATTCAGGAGAGTGATGGACACATACAAGGATGAGTTGTTTTCTTTAGTTAACAGATGGATAAAGTCATTTCCTGTATTAAGATATATTTTAAATCAAGTGAAAATCCATTACAAGAGAAAAAAATACTTTAGATACAAATATTCATTTATGAAAAAGAAAATCAATTTATTTTAAGCTGTAAATATTGATGTTAAATATGTTGTCTTTCAAAGACCCTCGAGCGATTTTATCCTTTCCCTGTCCTTTTGATTTAAGATTTCAATGAAGGATATTGAGATAACGAACAGTTTTCAATATCAAAGTCCTTAAACAATACAAAATAAGAGCAAGCACGGACCTCTAAAACATCAGAGGTGGGATCAGGTGCTATGGAGGAGTGAGCATCCCCTGCCGACCGGTCACATCCGCCATGTGCTCTTTGTCATGATCGGGAAATAACGGACACGATCACAGAGAATTGTAAAATCATATTTCCAAGTTTAAAGATAATATCTTTGATACACTCCCATTCATTTATCTGTAACAATGAAGAAATGTTGTCTATTTTGAAGTGAATGAAAGTCCCTATTTGAAAGTATGTACACTTACCAACCCAGAAATCTTGTTCTGGTAAACCGAAACCATTTTTATATTCCGTCCAGTACCTGTCAAAACTGAGGGATCCGGTAACTCGTTTTTGAATTGCCTTTAAAAATAAACAGTTATAGCAATACAATTCACTTTTTTGAACAATTGTAGGAACAATGGTGTTGAATTCTACAATCTTTTAAACAACAAGAATACTGAATGTGAGTAATCTTATGTGCTTCTAAATCTGAAATGAACTACATACCGTCCATCCCCCGCCCATTGTCGTCATATCGCAGAACGCCTGGACAGAACTGGTAATGGTACAATCAGGGTAAATGTTATACACACCAGAACTTGTCTTGCTATCTTCATAAAGATCCTTACAATCTAAGGGAATAGCTGAAAAAAATTCTTGAATCATTTTTTTGCATAAATACAGGTATTAAAAGGACAGGTGTGAGATGCAAATACAGGTATTAATAGGATACGTGTGAGATTCATTAAGGTTAATTGTTGAAGATAAATTGTGTGCTTTGATGTAGTTCCAATGTAGATAACGATAAGCTCTTTCTAATTACCTGACATTATTTTGGTTTTCTAATTGTTTCAAATCTATGATTTGTTTAACATATAATTCAATCAACTTAGTAAAAATAATCCTAATACCTTGTCGGTAATTCAAACATTATTTGTATCTCTAACTGGCAGCAAGGAATTCATTTCTAAGTAAACACAGGATATGGAGATAAAAATAAGACAGTATAAACCGAGGTTTCCTGTGGTAGAAAGTGTTTGCACGAAAAAAAGATCCATCAATGCTCAGTGACCGTTAAAGTGTCTAGTATAGGCATTTGCAGCCCCGAATCGGCAAGTGGTGTTTTCTAATGTTTGTGAAAAATTGTAAAGAGGGACATTATATAACAAACAACCGAAAAAGCAAACAGACAGAAAAAATAACCATTATACATACGACGGGGAAATAGATAACAGTCATACATTCAAGGGGAAGTAAAATAATTGTACATAAAAGTGATAATCAAATAACAATTATACGTACAACATGGAAATAATAACATTTATACATACAACCGGTAAGTGAATAACTTTGATGAGAGTAGTATCTGAAGCCTTCCTCCTTAGTCATCCTAGATGAGCAAACCTTTTTGTGTGTACGACATTTCTTCGTTTGCGAGTTGAAACCAAAGATGATGCACTCTCTTTGACACTTCGCGGCGCACTCGGTCAAAGAATGAGAATTCTGTTCTCCCAAAAACTCGTACTTTGATGTTTTATCACTCAACTCCAGTTTTGCTATAAATTTCTGAGAAAAACTGGTAGCTTCGGACAACGCTACGCAGGCGACAATTGAAGTGATAATACACAGATTGCTCATTTCTTGTTTTTTTTTCTGAAGAAAAAAAATAGATATCTTTGTGAATCTGTCAAATTTTGCCGAATGGTCCTATAACTACCAATTATAAATATCAGAACCTTAATCAAGACCTGAAAAATGATTGGCTGTTACGTAATCTATATCTTACTGCTGTTTGAATATCGATTTTATTAAATTTAATATGAATTGTCAAATATGCTTACTTTAGAATTGCAATTCAATTTCACACCTCTTATGTCATGCTTTTTAAGTGTTTTTTTTTTTTTTTTTTTTTTTTTTTTTAGTAAGCCGTCTTTACAATTTTAAATTTTATGAATATTTTTTCCTCATTACCTTACGCTGAATGAAATTAAAATTCAGCTTTTTGATATGCAAGTTGAAAAAACAAACAATTTATCTGATTCTTCAAAATAGTGAGGATCAACTTTTTTTTTTTTTTTGGCTTGTAGGAAAATTTTGAAAATGCGCATAGAAACAGACAAGTTTGCGGAGTGATTTCTTTTTTCATATACCTCTGCCCCGATGGGTATACTGATATACTATTTTATGATTGAATAATTTCCATCTCTCTGATTGGCTGAGATCAAACTATGTTAGAAAATACTACATTGTATTGACTTGCACGTGACGTTCCAGGTCAATACAAGGATTTATTTCCTCTACATTGATCTATAAATAGATCGGGAAATTTGAAATTGATACAAATTGTTTTGGAAAGCTATTTAAACGACTTTGACTTTTTTTTTCATGTTAACGAAACATAAGCGTATATAAACTTTTGGGTGAGGGTGGTATTTATATTTTTGGGTATTGGTGGTACACCACCCGGTTGTTATTTTCTCTAAAAAGATAATAATAATAAAGATAAAGCGTTATTGTATTGTCCGTATAATAATTATAATGTAAAAATTGCGTAAGGAAAAAAAATTATGCACGTGCAATTTTAAAAGCGATTACTTCAGAAAACCGATAAAATTTGCCTTGTTGTCTTTGAGCAAACGGTCGACAGTGACAAGCCGATTGGGTGCAGGAAGATATTATAAAGAGCTATTTTCTTGTTCAAAATATCTGGATAAAAGCATACTACTTCATCATACTCTAACAACTTAATTTACAACCTCAAATGACGTCGGACTTTTAATTTCCGATATTGACAAGGAGCAAATGGAGGAACTGAACGGTCGGCAGGGGATGCTCACTCCTCCATGGCATTTGATTCCACCCACTGGCAGATGTTTTTGATATTCAAGTTAGCTCTGCTTCTATTCAGTTTATTGATTTATGTACTTTTGAGCTTGAATACTATTCACTATCTCCATATATTTTATTACAGTTATTACCCTCTATTAGGTTGCTGTGCACACTAAATATATGAAAATGTGAGAAAAACATCAAAAAAGATTCTCTATGGCCTTTTATTTTTTCAATATTTTAAAACATTTTTTAATTTATTTTCAATTTTAATATGCCAGAAAAGGAATCTAAGCGCCTTATATAATCAAAATTCTTAATTACAGGGTACAGACTTTTATTCAACCACATTTCAAGTTATAGACTACACTTTGTATTTAACTTGGTGGGACAGACTTTAAGACTTTAACGTTGTATTTCCTACAAATATGCATTAACTATTGCTTCCAAATTTGTTAATTACAAAAAAACTTTACATGGCCTAAATATCGAAGATCTGATACATAATTCTCCATTATGTTCCTGTTCTTCTTCCCTATAACTTAAGTCCTTCTGTAACGTTATTACAGGTGACATAAATATTGTTAATAATGAGGACATCGGATCAATAATTTTAAAAGGTCCTAAATATAAGGAACCCATCCCTAAATATTGGCCACAGAATTCCAAAACTATTATGATTCTATAAAAAATCAAAGTACTGAAAGTACTGAAAAGCGGTTAGCATGCTTTCATCGAATATGTACAGTGTACAATAACAAGAAATGCATTGAATGATGATATTAAAGTAAGCATGCATATCTTTGTCCAATGTCATCAGCAAAAAAGTAGACACACTGAATTTTGTAGTACTTAACTAAATGGTATAACCAATAACATCCCAGACTGATGTCACAAATGTTTGTTTCAAAATATCAATATTAATCTTTATTTTCTCAAAGGCACAAAATGATAATTAACAAATTGGACAAATTAAAATTCAAAAAGTTTTTTTACAACTTATACCTTGCATAGGAATTTAGCAAACTTTCAAAAATAAATCATTCATTAGATATAATTTTCAATTTGTGCTTATTGTCAAGATTTTTCATGCCTCTTTTTTCTGTGCATATTTTATATCGGCTGATTTTTAGAAAAGGATCGAATGCAGATTAAATTTTTTTCTCCAATTATTTAAAATTAATTTTAGCATTTTCAGGCTCCCATTATTTTTTTTTAAATAAAAATGTGATCGTTTAAAATCGTTTGTAATAATTAGACTGAGTACAGAATTTATCCCTGGAAACAAAGTTTTTATTATCTTTTAAATAATTTCAATTGAGAGAAAAGGAGAAGAAAACAAACGTTTCATTATGGAAGTAATCCATAACTGTACAACTTACAGATGTATTCAGTATTTTTATATAAAGGCTTTCTTCGTGTACTAGTATTACATTATAACTTAATTAAAGGGATGCCTTACTATTTTGGAAAATGAAACTCGATCGAGAGATTCTCCGATGTTTTGCAGTCGTTAATAACTTTCAACCCCTTTAGCCAGTAATTAACCCGTCCTCCCTGTGCCCAGTAGCATAATTCGGTCAAATATTTATTGTTCATGAGGGGTGCCTTATACTTAATCACAGCCATCTGCATTTTTATCAGTAAGTCTCTAAATTAGCCAAATATCGCAACATTCTGCCCACTCTATATATAACTAGTGCTAATTGTAACGGGGACCGTTACAGATGTTCCCCAAACGCTCCCCAACTCCCTTTTGGTGCCATATTCCCTGTAAGCTTCATTAAATAACACAAACTCTACATATGCATTTGAGATTTTAACAACGTTTACCTAAAAGTGTACCAAGTTCATTCAAATTTCAGCATTGCACGCGTTCACATGTTAATGTTTGTGCATAATGACCATATCATCTTGTCTATACAAACTATATTTTTTTAATACATTAATATTAAAGTACTGAATCCAAAATATTCAAAAATACGCTCATATAAGTGTATTTTTGATTTTACTCATTTCACGTGCACGCACGTGCATACATGAGCATGGTAACCATACCTTCTTGTAGAAGTTTATTACATCTATCTATCTTCTAAATCCCAGCCCGTTTGGTTGAAAACCAAAGGAGTTAGAGCTGTTTAAAGTTTCAGCCAATCAGATTGCAGCGCTCGTAAAAGCACGTGCATGCATGTGCAGGGTGACCATATCTTATTGTAGATGTCCATTATATCTATCTATGTTCCAAATCCCATCCTGTTTGGTTGAAAAGCAAAGAAGATATAGCCACTTAAAGTTTCAGCCAATCAGATTGCAGCGCACGTGCATGCACGTGTTTTCATGCCCTTTGCTATATATCATGTTGTAGAATATCCTTATATATGGCTATGTTCAAAATTTCAAAGGATTTCATCAAAAAACAAGAAAGATATTGAGACTTTAGTTTCAGCCAATCAGAGTGAAGCGCACGTGCATGCGCGTGAGGTCTTGCTATTTTGACCATGTCATGTTGTCTATGCTATTAATATATCCTCACATTATGAGTTTCAAAGGATTTCATCCAAAAATAGAAAAGTTACGGCTAATCTATTATATTGGTCATTTCACGCGTTGCACGTGCACGCTCTTGCAAGCACGTGCGCACAAAATGACCTTTGTTCCGCAAATCTACATAACATGCCTACTGACCCTAAAAAGGTTTAACCTAAGTCGGATGTGTAGTTTACAAGATCACTCCCGGACAAAAAAGTACCCAGGAAGAAGAAGAAAAATAATAATAATAATAAGAAACAGAGTAAAAACAATATGTTCCCCAACTTCGTTTGGGGAACATAAATACACAAGGTGCCCAACGCCATTTTGACCCCCTGTTCGATTCGGGCTTCAATTTAACACATAAATCGGAAATTCCTACTGGTTTATGCATAGCATTGGGTTCAAATATGATTTTTCTCGCTATACATTTCTTCCTAAAGTTTAAATCTAACGCGTTGATATAATGTTA